TTACTCTCCGATCTACACATTCTTCTTCCCTTTTGCGCCTTTACCTCTTCACTAGGACTTCAAGTAAGTTTATTATCTTGATTATATAGCCCACGCGCCGCGCAAAGTCTGGTAAGAGGATTACCAGAGGATTACCAGAACTCTCTAATAAACATATAGGCAACTTCTGTCTGAGCTTGCTTCATTTGAGGGTATCTCAAGCATCCCAATCGATGACGATCATAACAGTGAATGGGAGGATACTGAGGTTGAAGACGATTTGGAGTTGGAGCTTATGTTATGGCGTGACGATATTTTAAATGACGAGGCTGTTCTACCAGATGAGCTTTCCGATGAAGAGATCACTAGCATCCAGGCTCTCTTAACTCAAGTGCGCATTGATATATGCTACCTCATAGTTCTAGCTTCAAAGAGGCGATATTATTTGTCTACTCTAAGAAGTTTGATAAGGAAAAGTGGGCTAAGGTATCAGCTGCACAGGATATGTTGTTCCTGGAGCTAGATTAGAGGAGAACTTGAGTTGCTAAAGTTATAGCGCCGGAGTACCTGGTTTTCCAACGCAAATAGGGGCTATAGAGAAATTTTAAGTACTTCATCATAGCCAGACTTCTGGTAACCTTCTGATAATTGAGCGATTTGCCAAATGTCATCTCAATACTCAGAGTTGTTTGATTCTGACAATCCTATTGCAGATGTATTCTCAGACTCTTTTCCGTCTTCTCAACAACTATCCTCGTTAAATCAAGTCCCTGCAGGCCTTGAATATATTGGCAAATTAAACCAATTCGTCAAATGGACTAAGGATACACACGATATATTCATTGAGTGGTGGAAGCTATCATGATGGTATGAACAACACTCAGATCATACTACAAAACTCCTTACGAAGATTCCCTTGCCCTTCGTATTGACAAAACTGGTGAAAAGATGTCTCCTTGTGGATTCTGTGTTCGGACCAAGAAGCGGTGTGTTGCTTCTGGTCCAAAATCCACCCGTTGCTCCGAATGTGTGCGCCATCGCAAAACAAATTGTGACTTCACAGAGAAGCTCCCTTCTCTGAGTAGTTGGGCTTCCTTGGATCATCAACAACAAAAAGCTGCGCGACGAAGAGGAGGAAGCTATGATGAGGATCATCCGCCTGAGGAAACAACAACGCCTACTCGATGACAAAGAGCAGAGGATGATTGAACTCGGCGTATCGACCTTAGAGGAACTGGACGTGAAAGAGAAGGAAGAGATGCTTCATCAGGAGGCCAGGGCAGCCGCCCTGACCGATGACCGAGGCCTCTGCTTTCTTAGAGTCTCCTTTCATCGATCCTGATGCTTTCGAGGGGCTCCCTGAGCCTTTCTGGGATGGCCTCAGCCTGCTTGGCGCCGCAGATCCGTCTGTTTCTTTTCCTGGGTGTGTCGGCGTCTCCACTCCCGAATCAAGTCATGGTTGATGTTTCCCATGGGTTCCCAAGAATTGTCCGTGGGTTCGTAGCCTTCCCATTTTATTAAAAACTCCTCTCGGCATCCTACTAACCTTCTGTCTAGGATCGCTTCGACCTGGTATTCGTTCAGCTCGTTCTCGGGTTGGAGTTCAGTATCTGTCGCAATCGGGGTGCTTCCTCTTGCTGGCTCCAGCAGTGAGACATGAAATACTGGGTGAAGTCTGGAGTTCTTGGGTAGTTGCAGCCTGTAATTAACTGAGCTTACTTTGTTCAATATCTTGAATGGTCCCAATTTCTTGAAGTCCAACTTCGTACTTGGTCGTTTCGTTTTGATGTGTTTTCGGAGTAGGTATACTTTATCCCCCTCCTTGAAGGCAGGTTCCATACTGCGCTTCTTGTTTGCGTATGCGGCGGATCGTTCATTTAAGAATTGGATGTCCATCGCAAGTTGTGTGTGGAACGATTTGAGTTGTTCCACCACGATCATAGCTTGTTCTGCTCGTGATTCATCCAGTCGTGGTTGTGGTAGCCGTAATTGGCAAAGAACGGTGAGACTTTTGTTGCTTCTGCCATCGCGCTGTTATATGCGAACTGTGCGATGGGTAAAATCTGAACCCAGTTATCCTGCTGATGATTGACATAGCTTCGCAGGTACTGTTCAAGGGTTTGATTCAATCTTTCTGTCTGGCCATCTGTTTGGGGGTGAAAAGCTGTTGACAGCTTATGATTTGTTCCCAACAGAGCCATTAATGATTTCCAGAATTTCGAAGTAAAGAGCTTGTCTCTGTCTGAGATGATTTCTTCTGGCATCCCATGATCGGCTAATATGACTCGAATGAAGGTATACGCGAGCGCCTCAGCGTCGCTGGCTTCCAAGTATGGTATAAACTTCCCATACTTCGTGAGTCTTTCCGTGATAACCAGGATAGAGTCGTATTCTACCCCTGTTAACGGGTCCTTGGATAGTGGTAGTTTGACAATGAAGTCCAAAGCTATTGATTTCCACGCTCCTTTTGGTACTGGTGTTGACTTCAGCTGTCCATATGGCAAATGCCTATTGGATTTTGACTTGCTGCAAATGTCGCACTCTCTTACCACTGTCTCTACCTGCTTCCGCATACCTGGGAAGTAGTAGTGTCTGATGATTTGTTCAAAGGTTCGTGTTACTCCCTTGGCCGTGTGCTGGCAACGAGTGTTGTTCTTGCACCAGCGGGCATCTCATTTGACTTGGGACATATACTAACCCTTTGTATCGAATCAATCCTTGTTCGTCGATGGCGAAGTCGCCCTCGACTTTGATCAAGACTCATTTTGCGCACTCGTCTGTGGCGTAAGCTTTCTTCAGTCTTGCCTCGAGTTCTGTATCTTCGACGATGGAGATCGTCGCTAGTAACTCATTGTAATGCATTCCTGCATCTGTTTCCTTCAATATTGATCTAGGTCTTTCTTCCTTTGGGCCGACGTAGTCGGTCCGTCTGCTAAGAGCGTCTGCTCTTGCATTCTCAGAGCCCTTGCGATAGGTTATTGTGAAGTTGTAGGCTGCGAGAGTCTCTGCCCAGCAGACTTGTCTGTGGTTTAAAACCTTGGTTGTGGTGAAGTATATGAGGTTCTTGTGATCCGTCCATACCTGCACAGGGTAGGTGGATCCTTCAAGATATACTCGCCACTGCTCAAAGGCAATGACAATAGCCAGTAGTTCCTTGTCATGGATGTCATAGTTGAGTTCCGCGGGTGACAGTTTCCTAGAGTAATACGCGATTGGTTTGAACTTACCATCCTTGTCTGGCTGATTCAGACATGCTCCAATTGCAAAGTCAGAAGAGTCCGTCTCGAGGATGATCTTCTTTGCAGGCCTATTCCTTCCAGCATTAAAGAGGTTCAGTCTTTCCTTGGGTTTGCCAACTATTACAGGAGGTTTATACCAAGATATACATCCTTGGCTTTACCCCTTACTCAATTACTTCACAAGGACACTTTGTATATATTACCCGTACAATACAGGATGATTAAATCTTAGCACTGTACAATATTAATGTGAAATCTCATGAGAATCTCACAAGATTCTGCACTAAACATGTAATTAATTCTATGACTTATAAGGCCCATGTAATGCTTGTACAAACTTTTCTACTAGGTTATGCCCACTTTCCCCTAATTAGCCAGACCACCTGTCAAAATGTCATTAGTGTTGCCAGAATCTAGTAAAATTTCCGATCTTAATTCTGACATCTTTAATTCTCAATTGGTAGAATCTCTACCTCTACCATTAATTCAAAGCTCGTCGTCGTCAAAGAGTGTTACTTGTACAAGCTAGTTCTTTCTAACGCGTCTGCCATTACATTTAGCAAGCAATCAATTCACCATATCTTTAACAGCACTGTGTCAAGGAGGAAATGCTTGTGAATCTAACTTAAGAATATGTCGTATGACAACTTCTTCTTCTAATATTGTTAATTTTCGAGACTTTGGTAAAGTATTAAACTTTGTAACAATTCCAGCTCTTAGATCGTTTAATGTCATATGAGAAACTCTGTAGATTCGAGCAACATGACTAAGTTGTAATTGTGGATTCGTTTAAAGCACTTGAAGTGCAAGAATCATATTTCTTTCTTTGTACGAATGTGTCATGTTTTAAAAAAAAGTTATTTAGATATAAAGTCAAATGTATGATGCTAAGAAAAATATGACGGGTTGCTTAGGATGACAGGTCACTTGTGAACTACGTTACATAGTTCTAGTTATAGAGGAGGGGTAACACTAATCCTCCTTGCCCTGTTTCTATGTCTCACTGTAGTTGGTAGCATATATGTTTTGTTATAGGCTTATAAAAGAAAGTATGCTTAGCTATTAACATCAGCACTAATATAAGTTTAGAAGACAAAAATAAGCAAAGCCAGCTAACGTAATATTAAAGGTCAAGCACTCTCTTTCTTACTGCTATGCTTACTAATGTCTATACTATCGATGGTACCATTAGTAGTAACTATACAATTGTTACGGTTGTTCTATTCGTCTATAATACTTGGCTTCTGTACAAAATCAGGAGGGACATGAAGCCTACGAACTTTAATCTAGGTCTTATAGTTTGCACTACCACTTAACATTTATCGCTATCACCCTTTTTGCTTAGGGATACAAAGGCAGTTTTAAACAATGACAAACCTATGTTTATAAATAGTAAACGGCTAAATATATCTAACAAAAGGCCCTCTATAGAGGAACGTTAGGATTAAGGCACCTAGGAAGACAACGTTAAAACTTAAGATAAAAATGAAAATGATAGGGTTGAAGATCTAGTGCTGCGTCATAGCAGAGGACAACGACGTCTAACATATAAAATGAGTTAGATCATCGATTAGCAAGGTAGAAGAGGAAGAATATAGGAAGGAGGCAACTAATATACATGTACAGAAAGCTTTGCAAAGACCTAGTAGGTTTGATACTTAAGATTAATCGTCGCAACAAACTTTTCGCTTTGCTTAACGTAAGGTTAGAGTAAGCAATGTAAACGCTCTTACACCATACCTTTACATAGTACATTATATAAAAACATACATATTCACTATCCTTCCTATTTGATAATTGTTTGCGCACTTGAAGTTGCCGCCTATCGCAATGCTTAAGCGTCTGCTGTTTCTAGAGGTATTATACAAAGAGAAAATAGAACGTTACAAAGACTTTGCATAGACTGATTTTAGCGTTCTAGATCAACGCTCTATTACCATCACCATCACTTGGTCGTTATAACAAAGTTGACTCGTTATAAGCTATGCTAGATCTAGTTGTTAAAGAGGCATCTTGCATTGTGTTTATGCCAAAGGATAGCCAGACCAAAACAGGACAGCGGTCCGGGGACCGGCTTCCTCGCAAGACCACCGCGGTTTAGCCAGCCTTGCGGCCGTCTGTGCGGTCGAGGTCCGTGCGAGAGCTTCCCCGAGCATATCGATTTCCTTTTGCCCCAAACGGTTGAGACAATGGTTGAAACGGCCGGGAAAGGTTTGGGGCAGTGCTTTTGGTGCGGGGAGTGAACGGCGGCGGGGGTTTCAGTTTGGGTTTTGGAGGTGGCGAGGGGGTGAAGGAAAGGGGCGAGCCGGAATGGACGGGGGGCGGGATGGGGAGAGCGCGGGTAGGCAGGTAAGACGGGGTGGCGGAGGATTCCCAAGTCGGTCACGGAAGTCACAGGATAGAGAAGAACCACACCTAACACGTAACAACATTATTGCCATCTATCAATAATCCCCCCCTCTACTCCTCCTCATCCTCCTCAGCGACCTCAGCCTCCTCCTCAGCCTCCTCCTCAAACGACGAACTTGGCACGTCGTACAGTCTTAGGATCTGCTTATTCGGGTCCTTAACGAGCACGTACTTGCCCTCGGGCTGCGCCATGCACATGTCGACGATGGTGCGGACGATACCCCAGCCGTTGGAGAGGGAAAGGTTCATCTGCGCCGCGAAGTCGCGGGGCTTCCAGCCGATGACGCCGAGGATCACGTGGCGGTCGTTGGACTTGGGGTTGGCACGGGAGACGAATCTGGGGGGTGTTAGTGGTGTGCTCTGACTTTTGATATAAGGGGGGTGATATTGGGGGGGTTGGGGTTAGGAAGGGGAGGAAACACGTACCCGAGCTTCATGACATCGGCGTTCGCGATGATGGATTGGACGGTCCAGCGAGCGAGCTTGCACGAGTTGTTCTTCATCTCGGTGGCAACAACGGCACCACGAGCCGAGACTAACTTGGTGCGCCAGTCGAGGGCACCACCGCTTCCCTGGGCCTTGTGGTCGAACTCGTTGAGGGCCTTGACAGTGACGTACTGGTCCTCGCCGCTGATAGCGTTCTTGGTGACGGCATCGAGCTCGGTACGGACAATCAGGTTGAGCGGCTCCTCGTCGGTAACGGCGAGGTCGAAGCGGCGGTACTTGTAGGCCTTGCTTGCGGGCGGGTCGGTCTCCTCGGCGGCGTTGTAGAAGGGGTTCTCGTTAGCCATGTCGGAGCGGTGTGCGTCATCCTCGATCATGGTCTGGTTCGCGAAGTTGTGGTTGATGTAGGTGGCCTCCTCGGCGAGCGCAGCGGGCTGGTTGATGGCGTCCTTGTTACCCTCGGAGGCGTCCATCGGGGAGTCGGCGGCGTTCTCGTTTACGGAGACCATGTCCAGGGCGGCGTTGTCACGCTTGTCAAGGAAGATCTTGTTTCCTTGCCTCACGATCACGATGTCCCAGGGATACACGGAGCGGGGCGCGCACATCAGCATGGAGAGCACGCTGTCGGTGGTGAAGATGGTAGCCTCGTCCCTCTCGGCGAGCTCCTGGATGACGGGATCGGAGGAAGTGGTGACGTTGTAGGAGGCGCGGTCGACAACGTTGAGCTTGCGCTCGTTGCTCTTCGTAGCAGGCTTATCGAAGGAGCGGTCGTAGCGGTACACGAAACCGTAGCTGTCGACATCCTCACCGTCGTCGGCGTCGAGGTTCAGCTTCGTGAGACGGTTGAAATCAATCTCCTCAAGCAGCTTCCAGTCAGGCTTGATGTTAACCGACGCATCGCGGTTGCGCTGCGGCTTGTCGTAATCCTTCCAGCCGAATCTGCGGCCGCCACGAGCACCACCACGGCCTCCGCGAGAATCGTAGCCACCGTATCCACCCTGTGCTCCTCCACGTCCGTTGCTGACTCTCTGGAACTGGCCTCTGCCGCCTCTGGCGTCCCCGCGCCCGCCACGCTGTCCACGGCCACGGCCGAACCCTCCACCTCTTCCAAATCGGGTCTTGGCGGTATCGCGCGTGTTGCTGACGACGGAGAAAGAAGACTCATCCTCGGCGAGCTGAACGGCGAAAAGCGACGAGGTTCCGGCACCGTAAACTTGCTGGTCTAGAACTTCTGTTAGCACACTCAACTACGCCACCACCACCAACCGCACCCCGGAAGGTAAACGGAAGCTTCATGTATCGGAAATATCGCACCTCTGTAGTTGCGGTTATATTGTTGCCTTCCACCTCTGCCATCTCTGCCATCCTTGCCCTCGGAGGTCCAATCGGCCATGCGCCCTAACTTGTCGCCCTTGGAGTATGGTGCGTATGGGACGCCATCGAGAGTGGTCTCGGTGGAGGTCGCTGGTCCCCAGCCATCCGCAGATGGGAGAGCCGACACGATTTCTGCGAGTGATATTGGTGCCATATTTGCGCGACAGTTGTGTATGTGTCGAGCGATCGCGGTTCGGTCTGGAGTCTGAAGTTCTTTCGCTCGCGAATATTTGTCTAGGTGTGTGTTGGTGTTGAGTGGCGGGGCAGGCGAAATCTTGGCGTTTTATCACGTGATATATGGTTGTGATTTATATTCGATGCCCACGAAAAATATATGGGTGGCTCTTCCTACCGCGAATATTGGAGGATATGATGATATCTTAGTATTAAATGTAAGCCTTTAATCGATTATATTTATTTATTTCGTCAGATTAAGTAAATATGTAAGGGCATATTATAAGACATTCGTCCAATAGAAAAATCATTTAACGTGGTTTATCAGCATGCGGCGCATATCAGCATGCAGCGCACTTCCGCACTACCCTACCACTTTGGAACACAATTAAACAACCACAACATATTGAATTGAATAAAACTACGCGGAATCTAATGGACTATATATATCTATAACCTTTTGACAAGTTGATGCATAATGACCAGTTTTTCTACAAGTACCACAACGTCTTCCAGTCGATTGCCCCTCATTTTGACCATCATCCTTTTTGCGCTTGTCGCGTCGAACCTCTTTTCCCGCGTCCTTCTAGGCTATAAGATCTGTTGCATCCTCTATAACAAGTGCTCCTCCTTAACGGACACCTGTCATTTTAGCTCTGCGGCGTTTGCTAAGTGCTTCATTTGCCTTGCGAAGAGTATGGACTTCAGCATGTACTAAAGTCAATTCATGGGCTAATAGCTCTGTACCCTTCGCTAACGCCACGACTGTTTTAAAAATAGGAGTTGGCGAGCTTCCTTGATGATTTGCAATACGATTTTTAACCAAAGTTGTTGCGAAAGAGCATCGGTTGGGTTGTGAGGCGTCTGGGAAATCCAAGGGTCGGTGTCTGCAGAGGATGGTCTAGTAGGCGTTACAGTCCGTAAACTTAACATCAAGCTTTAATAATACCACTTGAGGATCAAACGGTATTAATCCAGCTCTGCGTAATCCAGCCTAGCCATTAGAAGGAGTTATTGACTGTATATAAGCTTGTTTAAAAGCTATAAAGAACTCAACTTTAGAAATGTAGTTAATATAGGTGTTGATAAAGCTCTCGATTTGACAACCATATGCCCGTTTCAAGACACTAAAACATCTAACATTAAGTAGCTAGGTCAGATGAGAGGAATGAGCAGGTAATCTGAGAGTTATAAAGTTGTATCGTTTAGAAGTCAGCGTTACACCGTTCTAGGTGTAACGCTGACTTCTAAACGATAGAAGACACAGAGGTTTCTTGCGTAAGGTTGACTTGACAGAGGAGGCAGGGGATTAGACACAAAGGCTTTCCAAGTAACATGTTACAGTATTGTAAAGAATACTATATTGAGTTGAGCACGAAGCTCCTATCTAAGGAAATACTATCTACTTATATAGTGGCGTCGTGCCTCATGGGTAATCTGGATAGTTGGTGTAAGGACACAGGGCACCCAGCTCACAGTAATAGCATATGAGAGTGCGAGTCGGAGGCTAAACGGATGCTATCCTATAGGTCTACTACGAAGGATACAAAAAAGATGATGAGGAACCCCGTTTGGTCAATCCCCTTAAGTACCCGAAACGGGTCCGACTCGGCTAACCTACCCTAATGCTCCCCACGTGACCGTAACCTGCCCGACTCCGATGCTTTCCATCACTGAGGGCTTTGGCATCCTTACAGTTGGCGGATAGCTAGATATTCAGGATAGTTCGTGGATAGCTCAACTATCCAATATCCACTAGTTTCTGCAACTATCCATTAGCCCCGTCACATGGCAGCCTACCCCGCTTGCCCCCTGTGACTCACATGTCACGTTACTAGGCTGTGGTCCTGTAACCATGACGTCACGTTACCATAGCCGTAACACTAGGTCCTCCTCCAAAAGGCCTAGTCCCTTAGGTCTTGCTGATTAAGGAATCGCTTACTTAAGTAGGGTGATGCCCACTTAATTGCTGAGCAGGTTGCGCTGCTTACCATGTCTTCTAGTAGACACATAAAAATCAAAGAACGTCATCTTCTTGCAGACCGTATTTGTCATACTGACATTCGTTGCACTCAGTTTGCTATCAAACTCAAGAGCAAACTTGGAAATCTCCTCCTCAAACCTACAAGTTACTATACATATTTTGGCTTATCACACCAACAACAAGAGCAATACTACTCAACGATTGCTACAACCATCTATGATTCATTACACGTCATCGCTCCTTAGTTACCAGGCCGATATTACCACATAGCATATCTCTACAACCCTCTATGATTCATTACATGACATCACTCATACTACCACATGACATATCTCTACCAACTAGAGGCCTAGGAGCATGAACGATAGCTCTAAAAGCCCCTACGAACCTCTATGATTCATTACATGTCATCGCTCTATAGTTACCCACAAGATTGGTTAAGTTATGACATAATTTGTCTATGACATAATTTGTCTATAGGGGTACTCTGACCTTGGACCTCCTTTTACTTCCTATAGGCTACGAACCTAAGAGATGTCTATGGGATTCTCTTACGTCGACTACAGTTACCAAGCCTGGTAAGTCATGGAAAGTCTTGGAAAATGAGAGAACTACACTCCTTTAGCATAAATAGGATTGCCCTTTCCTTAAGAAAGGGCAAGCAGATAATACAGTAAATCGACTATCACATACTTCCACATCTTTTCCAAGCTTCCAAGCATTCATCTTGTTACTCCTTGTTTCTGAAAAGTCAGTGAGGTGTTAACCTCTGACTTACCCCTGAGTTCCCAGACTCAACATTTGTTGCAACTTGTCTAAACCACTTCACCACATCATACACCTGATTGCTGCGTTGTGGAATAGTCTAAGCTACAACCCTTTGGCTCTGTTTCCTAAGATATTGTGTTGCCTTAGTAAAATCATCCCTTCCCCTGGGTGGCTAGATTCTCACATCTGGTGCACCCACTATTACAATAAAGCCAGTTTCGTCAAAGTTATAGAAAATGCAATCCTAAATCCCATATTTCGCCCGCATATTTTCCAGTAGCTAGAACCATCCTCTAATAAGCTCAGGATCTTCGCATAATGCCCTTTGAAAGTCGTAAACGCGATTGAAACGCATCTTTAACTCTAGACGTCGTTGTACAAATCGATGTGCCTAGAGCTTTCTAACGCGTTGTCTTCCTCGAGATTCAAAAATCAAATTTGCCATATCTTCCATATCAGCTAGCCGGGGCGCAAACCCTCTTTCATCCTTATCTAATATGTATCGAAGAAGTGATATTTCCTCTAAGTCGGTTAAATTTTAAGCCACTAGTCGATAATCACATCGAGAAGGTCGGCTGGTCATTCTGGCACGTAGTGTAGTGGACTTCGTAGCGTTTAGCAGCTGCTCGACAGCTTAGTTTTTTCGTAGAGGTTTGAATAGCTTCTATTGCCATAATAATACGAGCTTCTTTAGTCAGAATAGACATATTAAACAAAAAAATCACGTGTTGAAGTTGATGGGTTGGGAATTCGCGAAAAATGTGCCGCATGCTGATAAACCATGTTATTTATTTTTAAATATTTCCCCGCACTACTCGGTGTTCCACCCACTCGCTTTTCTCGTAGGTGGCGACAGCGATCTGTGCACGCGACAGCGATATGTGCAACACACAAAATGAAAGAAATAAGCCTCATATAGCAACTAACGTACATGTATAGCGAAAGCGCCAAACAAGCGAAAGCGCCAAAATGATGCGGTGACCAAACCCCCCAACTAAATGTTAAATTCCTCAACAACAAAACATGCCCCATAAAAACGATGAAAGCCAATTAGTGCTAGCTATCCAGGCTATGCAAAGCGACCCAAAGTTACGCCTTCGAGTTGCTGCTAGGATCTATTCTGTGGACCACCGCAAGCTAGGTCGTCGTCTAGAAGGTGTACCTTCACGACGCGATATCCAAGCCAACTCACGGAAATTAACTAACCTAGAGGAGTCCGTCCTTGTTCAGTATATACTCGACCTAGCTGCCAAAGGGTTTCCTCCTCGGCTGTCTGTTGTTGAAGATATGGCAAGTCGACTACTTGCAACACGCGACGCGTCACGCGTTGGGTCGCGTTGGGCTTCAAACTTTGTTAAGCGGCGTGTAGAGCTCCAGACACGCTTTCAGCGCAAATACGACTACCAGAGGGCTAAGTGCGAAGATCCAGAAGTTATTAATGGCTGGTTTGAGCTTGTGCGTAACACAATTGCGAAATATGGTATCGATGAAGCAGATATCTACAACTTTGATGAGACTGGGTTTATGATGGGCGTTATCTCAACTGCTATGGTTGTAACAAGCTCAGACGGGCGGGCAAAAGCAAAGAAGGTACAGCCTGGTAATCGGGAATGGGTTACAGTAATCCAAGGCGTTAGTTCTCAAGGTTGGGCAGTACCACCATTTATCATTGTTGCAGGCAAAAACCACCTTACATCTTGGTATGAGAATAGTGGATTTTCAAGCGATTGGGTGATTTCTGTTACTGAAAATGGCTGGACTACAAACGAGAGAGGCATGGATTGGATTCAGCACTTTGAGAAGCATACAAAGGCCCGGAGTGTTGGTGGTTATCGCTTGTTAGTCCTTGATGGTCATGAGAGCCACCACTCAGATGAGTTTGAGGAGTACTGCAAGGAACACAACATTATTACGCTTTGTATGCCTGCTCACTCTTCTCATCTACTCCAGCCACTTGATGTTGGCTGTTTCGGCCCGTTAAAGCAGGCCTATGGTCGGCAAATTGAAGATATGATGCAGGCTCATATTTCTCATATTACAAAGGATGACTTCTTTCCTGCCTTCCACGCTGCATTTAACACTACAATGACGGAAAGTAACATTCGAGGCGGGTTCCGAGGGGCAGGGCTTCTTCCATTTGACCCTGAGAGAGTGATATCTACACTTGATCTTAAGTTAAGGACACCAACGCCTCCAAGCTCCCGCCCAGGTACTGCTCAACCTTGGGTTTCTCAGACACCAAACAACCCAATTGAAGCTATGTCACAGTCTACATTTAT